GGTCACAATGGAACTCCATTAATGGCATTTTGTTGGCTTTAGCATACAGTTCTTAGCATGATTTTGGACCTAGCACCAGCTTTCTTGTTTATCCTTGATGTTCTTCGAACTTCTTAATGCAATACTCAGTCTTTCTGCTCCAAGAGTTTCTCAAGCACCTTACATGCATTCTTGCTTCTATTCCTTCTGTCTGGAACATTTATCCATTCCCTTGCAGCCCAGCTAAGTCTCTACCACTCTACCCCCACCTTCTCATTCCAGGCAACCACTAATTTGCTTTCTGTTCCCACATATTAATTTACATTTTCTGGAATTTTACATAAATGGAATCATTTATGTATTCTTAAAGTATAGCTTCTTTCCTTCAGCATAATTATTCTTAGATGCAGTCATGTTGTTGCCTGAATAGTTAATTCCTTTGCTTTACTTGATCTTGGACTTCTGGCCTACAAAACCATAAGAGAATGAATTCTTAATGTTTTATGCCACCCACTTTGTGGTGTTTTGTTATGGTAGTCCTATGAAACAAATACAGTATTTGCATTTTTTAAAAAATTTATCTTGTATATATTTAAGGTATACAACACAATGTTTTGATATACATATGCATAGTGAAATGATTATACAAACAAACATATTCATCACCTTTCATAGTTACCTTTTTCATGCATGCAGGGAGAATACTTAAAATCTACTCTCTTAGAAAATTTTCAGTTTAACACAATAACTATAGTCCTCATGCTGTACATTAGATCTCTATATTTATTCACTCATTTACATAACTGCAAACTTGTACCCTTTAACTTGCTTCTCCCTATTTCCTCTCCCTTCCTATCCCTGCTAACCACCCTTCTACTTTGTTTCTATTTACTCAGATTTTTCTTTTAGATTCTTTATAAAAGTGAGATCATACAGTATTTTTCTTTCTGCAGTTCGCCACTCTATCTTGTACTTTGGGAAGCTGACTTTTGTGGACTTCCTTGCCCACTGAATTCCAGCTGAGTTCTGTCAATGGGAAGAGACTCGAGAGCAGGACAAGACAGACAGGGTATTTGTTCTCTTAGATTTCTCACTACTAGGCTTCTGTTGATACCTGTTGCTCTTCTCCTGTCCTAGCAAATGTCTCTCCTATCCCAAGGGTACAGTTGTCATTAGGCTCCTGTAACCAATTACTCCTTGCCCTCGTTCTTTCGGGCCTGGCCGTAGTAATGACAGTTTTACTCACGCCAGAAACTAGGTGCTTCACCATACTGTTTGGCCCCCTTCACTCTGCCTGTACTCTGTAAATAGTTTTTTGGTTGCTATGAACCAGAGTTTCACCATTTCTTGCTGAGACTCTGATTTGTACAGTGCTCAAGAAAATTTGCTAATTTTTGCCAGGTGTGGTGTCTCAGGCCTGTAATCCCAACACTTTGGGTGGAGGGAGCTGAAGGGGGAGCTGAAGGGGAAAGATCACTTGAGCCCAGGAGTTTAAGACTAGCCTAGGCAACATAGCAAGACCTCACCTCTACAAAAAAATTAAAAAAATTAGCTGGACATGGTGGGCACACCTGTAGTCCCAGCTACTCGAGGGGCTGAGGCAAAAGGATAGCCAAGCCCAGAAGGTCGAGACTGTGGTGAGCTGTGATCATGCTATTGTGCTCCAGTCTGGGTGACAGAGCAAGACCTTGACTCAAAAACTAAAATTTGTACTTTTGGCCCAAAGCACAACCCATAAGTTAAGTGAGTTTTAAATCCCTATATTTTCTTCAGTGTTTTCATTCAACACAATCCATGTCTCTAATATTTTTCTCGAGTAGCAAATGACTCCAAAAACTGTACCTTAAGTCCTCATTTAACATCATCAATAGGTTCTTAGAAACTGCAATTCTAAGTGAAACGACATACAGTAGGTCCAGGAATAACATCATTTTCTTCAGCGTTTTGTTATATGCTGTTTCACTCTGAACATTTTGTTAAATGTTGTTTCACAATTTCTAAGAACCCATCGATGACCACATGAAGAGAAGATCTACTGTATTCTTTCCAACCTCATTCCCTCCTTCACTCCTCCACTCATTCAGCAGAGACATCTTGAGAGATGACCAAGTGCCAATAAGTGGGCCACCTAGGAAACTCAAAGAGAAGTAAAATACAATTGCTTCCTCAAGGAGCTCATATTCAGTTGAGAGGTATATACAGATAACAAATTCCAACTCAAAAGGAGAAGCAGAACATCAGGAAGCTACCCAAAGGCCAGTGGGTGCAGAACCCTGCCCACCTTGCCTTCTACTCCATAATCACCAGAAGCCTCATCCCTGCAGCCTGGCTTCTGCGCTCTCATTGGCTCCTTCTCTTTGCTGCCTCCCTTCCTCCTCACACGCTCAGCTTCCAGAATGTTCCCCAAAACGAAAGTTTACAGTATGTCAGACTCTGCACTAAGCACTTTGCATATATCATCTCATTTAATACAGTCACACAATGAGGCAAATACTATCATCTCCATTTTACATGGAAGGAAACAGGCTAAGGGAGAACTGGTTCGTTAGCAAGTGGCAGAACCGCCTCTTTTAACCATTACCCTACACTGCCTAATGAACTGAAACACACACAAGACCAGGATATTGTTGATGGTCATTTTCTTAAAGACTAAAGAGCTCTTTACCACAGATTTCACCTCAAAGCTGCAGGAAGAGATGAAAAACAGGAGTTCTTTTCTAAGACTTCTAATGGTTGAATAGGAGATGTGGGGTCGGTAGACCAGGAAGCTGTCATCACCTCTCTTTATTATACGAATTGCTCTGAAGATGAAATACGACTTGTTTCCCCTCTCCTTATCCTCAAAGTCACAGCTCCACTACTTCAGAATAGCATCTGCTATGAGTCAGGGAAGATTTTTTTTCCTCTCATCCTATGGAGGACAAAATCGCTGCCTGTAGCAGGTGAATCACTCACCTGGTTCCACAGAGAGTGGGAGGTAGCCCAATGTCCCAGTGACTGGCCTACTGACCAGGGTGCCCTAGTGGCTGCCCCTCATTCCAGCCAGACACGCCTCCTTGTTGGCTCCCAAACAGTTCTCACTCTCTCCTTTGAATTTTTTTTTTTGTCACAACTTCTTCCCTCCTAGAACAGCCTCTTCCTCCCAACACCCACCACCCTATCTGAACACAGTTAGCCTTCATGTTCACACCAAGCCCTTCTGGTCTCTCTCCTTTACTCTCATTGCCCTGCACCTCACCAGAGATTAATATCAGTGTTCCACTTTATGACTTAATTATGCTATGTGCATTGTGCTTGCCTGACACAATGGATGCCCACTTGGTCAGGGTCGAATCTTCTACTTTGGAGATATTCCCATAGCAATGTCCTTCTGAGACCACAGGAGAGATGGATACAACCTTTGTGATTGAAGTCTGTATAGTCTGCTATGCAGGAAGCAGCCTTTTCCTGTATGTTTTCAAGCGGGGATTCTGATTTCTATATGTAATGATATGTTATGGACAGTTCACACGTTGGAATTTTTCACATCCTTTCAACCCACCTTCTACTTCAGCCACCACTGCAACAGGCTTCCCCTAGATGCCCCCCTCCCCAAATCTCAAAGGGGACGACCTGACAGAGTCTCACCTTTTGCCTTGCCATGCTCTGCACCTGCCAATTCCAGCCCCAGGGCTTCTCAGAGGTAAGATACAGAGCCCTGTCTGAAGCTCACCAGCAGCATACAGAGGAGTCAATAGCCCTGGGATCCCCTTAAGCAACAGGGATCACGAGTCCATGGATAGATGCCTTCCTCTTTTGTCCTCTGACAGTTCCCAGGCCCTCTGAGTTTCCTGCAGGACTGAGCACCTCTTGCTATGAATGTGGCCAAGGCGACCACTTTCCCTTTCTCTCCATTTCACTTTGACCTTCAGTCCTGCTTCCTGCTGGGCTTCTCCTCCCAGGCTCTGTTTTCTGGGGACCCAGGCTAAGACAGTGCTTCTGGAAATTGTTGATGTGGGATTGGCTGAGAAAGATAACGTCCTCCAAGATCCACCACCTTATTTTTTTAAGTTTCCTTTTGCTTTCCTCCCACCTCTAATGTTTTAATGACTAATGTCAAGGTCCCGTTTAGGAAAGGTCTTACACTCGCCTGTTCTCTGAAACTTAAATGTTTCCAGGGCTCTGCTGATTACTTGAAGAGTTGTAGTTAAAAGGAGTACAATCTAGTCAGGGTTTTCCTACTTACTCTGTTAGGGAGTAACTGTTGCTGGATTAAGGGTAACCTAGAGCTAATCACTTCGCCTTTCTGGAGTTTCTCAGCTGTTGTAAGATGGGATAACAGGGGCCCGGTTACTTTGCTGGTGTGAACGATCAAAGGAGAAGGAAGGGGGAGCTTACTTTAAAAACCGGTTGGGACCTCAACACTAGAACAACTTTCAGATTACCCCAGACAAGGAGGCTGGAGACCAAGGCGCAGCCCCCCACGGGGTCCTAAGTGCTCCAGGTTCCAGAGGCGTCCAGAGCGCCCCCAAGCGCCTGGGTTCACAGAGCAAGGGCTCGCTGCCAAGCTCGCAGTGTTTACCAGAGTCCCGGTGGTTTGCAAACCCAGATGTCAGACTTCCTATCCCGGAAAGTCTCAACTCGCTCACCCCCAACTCCTCTTCAGCCTCCCCAGAAAGGAGAGAGCGGGGCTGCAAGCCGGAGGAGAGAGGGGCGAGCACCCGGCAGCCTCACCCCTCCCCTCCCCACCCCTAAGGCAGGAATTTCTGGGATGGGCAGATGGTCCACCCCCTCTTCCTCCTCCTTTCCCTAGCCGGAGTAGGTAGGGCGGGGAAAACCTTCGCGACTTTCAGTGTCCCAGCTCAGAGCCCCGAGTGTCCGTTCACTGTGGCGACAGGGGTGGCGGAGTGGGTCTCCAGGGGCCGGGGGTGGCGAGGCCCCAGGAGGGGTGGGGCGCGGAAGAGACTGCAGCCCCGCCTCCAGCGCCGCAAAGCCGGGCACTTGGGGCGCAGCTGTGGTGCCCGCCGGCCGACAAGAGGTTTCCGGCGAGCCTAGTGGTTAGCGATGCTGCCGCTGCCGTCGCTGCCGTCGCTGCTGCTGCTGCTGCTGCTGCTGCTGCTGGGGTCGCCGCAGGGCTGCGTTGAGGGCACGGCGGCGGCGGTCACCCCTGAGCGGGTCCTCGAGTGGCAGGGTGAGTGTCCCCAGGGCCAGGGAACCAGTTTGGTACGTTGGAGGCGGGGGGTGGTCGAGGGAGAGAAAGAGGGGGCGAAGCTAGGGGCAGAGCTGGGGGCGGGCCGAGGGCAGCCGGGTCTGTAAGGTGGCCGCGCGCCTGCAGCACCGAGGATGGGGCGGTCCTGTGCCCGGCTCTTGCCGGGGGTGGGGTGGGGCGGGGGGTGCGCAGCTGGGTCCCCCAGGCAAGTTGACTCCGGCTCCGGCCTGGCCTCCCGCACCCGGAACAAGCTGAGGATGGGAGGGTCGGATAAGTTTCAAAATGGAAACTTTCCTAGAGTTGTTTATTTGGAAGGATCACATATGGGATAAAAGATGGCCCATTTTGTCCCCTCCCAAAGCCTCCACCACCTGCGGAGTGGCCCCAAGCCAGGCTTCCTCACTCCGCCCTTTCCGGAAAGAAAACTTCATCTCGCAGACTAGGTGAGAGAGAGAGAGAGGAGCCCCTGTGACTCCCAAGTGTGACCCTCTTTGCTCTTCAGTTTCTCTCAGAGGAAAAAAAATGGGGTCTGGGATATTCATAGGACCCACTGAGAATTGTCCCTGTGAAACCACTTGTGCACACGAATCAATTCAGTAAATATTTATTGAGCACCTACTACATAAGACTAGCGGGGAGGAAGGAGTAGGGATACAAAAGAGATTTCTGTCCTGCAGGGGTTTCCACTCTGGCAGGGCCGTCTCTGAGGCAGAGAGGGGAGGGAGGGGGAACCAAATAAATCTCGAGAAGCCTCCAGGCGGCTTCCATCCTTTCTGTTCTTGGGGATAACTTTGGAGAGAAGGGATAAAACTTAGTGTGATCACTGTCTGTGTTCGTTTTTACCTCCTCAACATAATATGTATACATTTGTGAGGTGTCTTTTCTGGACTGTCTTTCCTAGCACTCCCTGGAGGCTTAATCCGGGACAGATGGACTGAGACTATTCTTAATTCTAAAGCAACCACAAGCCAGAGATGCTTTTGCCTTCTTGGTCAGTTCAGTAAAAATCACTGCTGTGGATGAGCACATCTGACCCTGTGGTGTGGACCCTTCCCACTAAGTGGTTATTGCCTTATTTAAACGTGGGTTTTGCCCGGGCACTAGGTGGTAGACAGAAGAGCAGCCCACACAGACAGAAGCTGGACTCTGCCACGCAGAGCTATGTCCTGGTGATCCTCTGAGCCAAGGGCTAATCCCTTCTATATGTAGCAGACCCAAATCCTGGCCTGAGATAGTTCCTAATCAGGGCCTTCTTTTTAGTAGTCAAGGACACTCTGAAATTAGAGCCATCTGCTAGCTCTTGTACCCTCCAGGTGCAGTTTGCAAATGTGAAGGGGTTGACATATTTGGCATAGAGATTCTTCAGATATGAAAATGCCACTCCTGATGTCCTAGAGAGCACAGAGGCTGTGTACTGATCTTTACACCGTCCCCATTCCTGACTCCAGTCTCCCTCGTCAGTGAAATTTTACATGTAAGCTAGACGAGTTGGAAATCAAGTTTTTCTTGTCTACACAAAGATGGAAAAACAAAATCTTAACACTGAAAAAGACCTGAGACACTGTCTATCCAAACATCCATTCCTCAGATGTAGAAGCTGAGGAACGACCACCACATAGTTAAGCTATGTTTTGGGGCGCCTCAGTTTATTACCCCTGTGTTCATTGTACCACGCTGATTCAGCTTTAGCCACAATTAACATTCACAGGGCAACTGGGAGAAAAACGCACACTCGTTAGTTTCATATCCACTAAAAACACAGTATATTTCATCTGCATTGTTTAATATGTCTTATTTACTGACCTGGTATGTATTATAAGCATAGCAACCTTGGGAGGCAGATGATGGATTGTGTTGTGCTTACTTTTCAGTCATTTATAAGTAATTTTTTATTCAAAAATCAGTAGATACAGTGTCATATAGTAGTTAAGTTCATGGACTTCAGAGCCGGACTCAGTTAAAATCCTGACTCTGCCATTTGCTATATGTGTGACCCTGGGCAAGTTACTTAACCTCTCAGTGCCTCAGTTTCCTCATATGTAAAAAAAAATGGAGCTAATAATAGCACTTATCCAAGTGTTGTCCTTTTGTTGCCCTGTCACCATGGTGCTCTCTTCCTCTGGCTAATCCAGACCATTTGTTACAGTTGACAGTCCTGTTTAAATTATTTACTGCCTTGTGCATAGCACTATACTGGGAGGGTCTGAGACCTGCCTCTTGCCTCTAGTTGGTTATAGCACAGAGGTTCATTGTGTTTTGTTTTCCCTGATCCAGAATCTGAACCCTTCTTCCGGCAAGTGCTAACACATGATAACTTCACTCCCTCAAGTACTCCAGATACTGGGAACGCAAGGGGGAGAATGAAGATGGGAACAGAGCATCCTTGTGAAAGATGGGCATAGTCATCAATAAAGGAAATGAACTGAGGTCAAGTAAAAGGATTTCCAGGATACACAGAAGGTTGAACAATCATAAATGTGAAATGGCCCTCAACCAGGATAGTGAGAGAGTTTCCTTCTGCCCATGCCCAGCTTCCCAGAGGCAGGAGTGGAGAGAATCCAAGGCTGTATCAGTTCCAGGAACCGTCAGGGTGGGCTCTTCCAAATGACCAGTGGCCAAGGAAAGTAAGGGTGCTGATGAGTGTGAGGTCAATGTGCTTACCCATGGGATCCTATCTGGAGAGAAGAAAGTGAAACAGGGCATGGGGTAGGGGTGTCTCTTAACATCCTGTGCTGATGAAAAGAGGGGTGAGCGACTGAAGACCTCAGTCATTCATTCATTATCCATCGAACATTATGTGTTTTATCTCCCTGTCTTAGTTTGGACTTATCCAAAAGCAATTTCTGAAACACATTTTTATTGGGCGCAAATAGTTTATTTGGGAGGTGATTCTAGAAAGCATGGCAAGGAAATGAGACAGAGAAGGGAAGAAAGTCACTATGGGCACAAAGGACCCTCTGAGGAACTGTATAAAACTTAGTAGACCCACCAAGGGACAGGCAGCTGAGGTGTTTCCACAAACTCCCTCCTCTCACTGGTTGGGGGGGGTCACTCCTAAGACAATTATCTCCTGGTGCTTCTGGCCTGCCTGAAACCCTCTCAGGTAGAGGGACACAGAAAGCCAGTCAGAGTATATAGGAACTGTCTGCAGGTGAGTAAGCTTCAGGTTAGGGGCTATGAGTAGGGAGCCAATAGAATCTGCTACTCATCTCCAGATTGGGAAGATAAAAATATGAGTAGGATGTGACACTGTCCCCAAGAAGCTGAGAGCCCAGAGACAGATACAGAAACAAACAATTACAGAATAGTGTGTCAGGTGTTATGATACCCAGGAATGACAAAGTGCTAAAGGCATGCAGAGGAGGGACTGACCTGAGAAGCTAGAGACTCACAAAAGGACATTTGTCTTCCTAAAGGATAAGTAGGCTGTTGCCATATGGGAAAAAGGAGACAGAGCATCCCTGGGAAAGTATATTTCATGTGCAAAGGCAGGCCACAGTGAAAGTTCAGCAAACTACCAGTTCCTTTCTGGGATCTTTTGGATGCAAAGAAAGAGGCCCACTCAAGGTCACTCAGGCAAACATGGGGATGGTTGTTATGTTCTCAGGATCTTAAGAGACTCAAGAACAGGTTATCTGTGTAACCAGGCTTCTTGGACCCAGGACTAGTCACTGAAATGAGGCAGCTACTTTCTCTGTATCTTTCTCTCTGGAGTACATGGTGGTCCCTGTGCAGTTCTCCTTTCTGTTGACTGGTTCTTTCAACTTTGGCTTGCACAACCTTTCATGTGTAGCTTCCACAGCTTCCTGGGAAGAGTCTTTTAATTTCCCAGTAGAAGAATCTGGTCACATTCTTCACAGCACACTGGTCAGTTCCTGTGCTCTACCCTTGAGTTGGAGGACTTCCCATCAATAATTGACCATGGTAGGGGTGTGAGGTGCACACACAGGCTGCCTCATCAGTGTCTGTAGATGGGGTAGTCTTTCAGAGTAGGATCACAGGCAGGACAAGAAGCTGTGACATGTCTATATTTGGAAGCATGGGAGAGTTGAGGAAGCAAATAATTTTCTGGAGTGACTCTACTTCTGGAAACAAAGTCTGGTTAAGTGAATTGGGCACCGTTGAGAAGGGCTTCATGGATTTGGGAAAGGGGAACCAGCTCACACTTCCAAGTTTAGAAGTGGCATGGCCATTTTGAGACTTGAAGAGGGTCATTCTGGAGGGTGGACAAGAGATCATCTGGATGGTTAAAGCTGAGCTAAGTCAGTCCCAACAGGAAGATTGAGAAACAAAAAGTTTGGATCCAAGGCATAGGGTTTAAAGAGAAGAACCTTAAAAAAAACAAAAAGACTTAGCGAAAGTTAGAAGATGGGAGAAGTTGCAGAATAGGAGGAATGGTGGTAATAAAATGGAAATTCTAAGTTTTGGAGATGGATCCATTCTCAGTAGTGACCAGATCTAAGATGCAGTTGTAGGAGGCATCACCAAAGTGGAGAAGCAGAAGAAGGTCCTCTCAGCAGGGAGGTTGAAGAACAAAACTCCTAGAACAGAGCTAGAGTTGAAGTAGAGTTTAGGACTTTTTTGTTAGTGATCCATGATAAGAAATACAATTTATATCACAACCTACTACATATATGCTCACATATATAACAAAGTTTCATTTAAAAAACAAAACAAAACCCTTACCTAATGTGGTATACTGCTACATTTCGATGGTGTTCCATTCTATTTTGTTTTGTCTTGCTGGTCATGACACGTAAATTGATTTCACGATCATGAATGGGCCACAACCTACAGTGGAAAACAACAAGGTCAGTGTTGGGTCATCTGTGTAAGAAGTTAAAGACTTTAGGCTGAGGAGAATCATGGAGAGTCTGCTGATATCAAAGCCACAGTGAGTAGTGCAGGACAGTGAGCCCCAGAGGCAAGGAAGGGACAAGCAGATGCCTCCTGGGAGAGGTTTTAAAAGAGATGATGAGGGA